CAAGCTGAGGAAGACTTCTTACGTCATCCAAAAGACCCCCAAAGACCCCCAAAAGAAAACCCCAAGGGGCGTTCCAAGGCAGAGTTATAGCCATGGTGTACGTTAATGATTCCTCATCCACCTTTCTGGAATTTGCTGACACAGCTAATGCATATGTAACACAACTAATGTATATTTAATACAACTAATGCATATGTAACATTATACTGCACAAAAGAGGCTGAACAAAGGGGTGCATGACCAGCAGAATTATCCCCCATGCACCTGGTGCTGTGAATAAACATACCTTCTTCAATACTCTTTACGAGTTTAGGGGTTTGTTTCTGTGGCAAATTAAGGCACGGACTCCTCATGCAGTGAGCAAGAGAAGACATTTATTGATACAGCAAGCTCCCCTTTTATACCCTTCTTGGTGCTTTTCTATATATAGTTACTATTTTAGTACATTGGCAACTAATATGGGTTTGCAAGCCACAATGTTTACACAGATGGGCAACTTAGTTCCTTGTGTCCTTCGATATCTCAGTTCCTCATCCTCCTGTCAGGTCTCTGTCTACCGCTCCCATGGTTTCGCTCCAACAAGGGTCAACAGGTCACGGTCTCTGTCTTCAGCTTGAGGAGTTTCAGCTGGAGCCCCAGCTACACATACAGTCTCCCATGTAGAAAACAATGCAGTTTATATACAATGCAAATAATATGCTATTAACAAATAATGTGCTAAATTAAAACCCAAAGCTCTTTATATACACTTGTACATGCCGTGGCTAAACAGGTTCCAGGTGCCCCCTGGTCCCAGCAGAATACCTGAATATCTGATTCTTACCAGTGTTCTGTTCAGGTTTCACTGAAACTTGAACAAACCTCATTCACCTTTAGCTGTTTTACAGAATTACTATAGGACAAAACACATAGGCTCGCATGTTTAGAAAATGTTGTAGTTCTTCAGTGAAAAAAGCACAATTATTAGGTCACTTATTGCTTAGCCACACAGCTGTACATGTGCCCGAACTGTTGTTCCAGAAGACTGATGTTATCACATCCTATATTTCTCTTTGGCATAATCTTTCAGAATACAGATGTGTTAAACAAAAAGTACAACTTTAACCGGCTTTACCTTCCAGTAAAGGACACGGGTGATCCTCAGAGACAGTTCTCTGCAAGGGCTCAGCTGGGGAAGAGCCCAGTTGTGGGGTCTGGTTACACCAGGTGCTGCAAAGCATCCTGGGAGTTGTAGTTCTAAGTACTCTGTTACACATGCTCTGTTGAATGCTTGTATGGGATTGGCTTAAGAAGTTACCTGTGTGACGTGGCAGCATTTGAAACAGCTATATAAGCCAGGACTCCTAGAATAAACTCTCTCTTGTTACACATCACGTTGGTGTCGCTATGGTCCCCATGGGACTTATTATTTATTATATTAATAACTGCTACATATGGCGCCCGAACAGGGACCTAAGCCTTATCCTGAATCAGGAAGAAATACGGACCAGACGTCAGGTACCAGCCTATATTTAACACTGAGGGACGTCCGCCGTGAAAAAGAAATGAACGCCAGGTACCAGAGGAAAGGAAACTCTGATGGGCGTAGGTGGGAGAAACTGCGATTGAGCTCGAAAAAAGGCCTGAATTCCGTAGGAAATTGCCTACGTTTTGAGAGGACGCTCTCGAGAAGAAAAATCTACTTCCCAGGTGAGAGGGCGGGAGAAAAAAGAAAAAGAGAAAAAATGAAAACTTTTAATTCACGTGAACCACAGAATATTACAAAAGCCTTAAGCTTAATATTGAAAAGACTTTGGAAACAAGTTAACAAACATAAAATAACTGGACTTTTAAAATTAATGAAAATAACTATTTTAGAACTGCTGTTATTTACAATTCTTAGTGAAATTGCTTGGAAAGAGGGATGGAGAAGCAGAGAGAAAACAAAAGTAAAAAGGGTGGACACTTTAAAACCCTCGCAAGAGAACTCGTCCACAGAGAGAAACTTTAAATCTTCCCCTCCCCCAAACATTATAAAACATGGAACTCCACGTACTACTACAGTCTGGAAAGGGGGAGGGGGTCCGAGAGCACGGAAGAAAAACCTTAGAATATACCTTTTTGTACTGAATTTTCGCGGATGCGTGAATTCCGGGAAAAAGGCGCGTGTCGTGGATTATGTGACTGGTAAAAGAGAACAAACTTTGAATCCCCAAGCCATGGAAAACTTGCAGACACGTGGAGACCATGCCGGAGCATGGGCGGCGCCATCTTGCCCATGCCAGGAGCAGGAGGTAGTACCTTCTCTTCCTGTCTCGTGGCCATGTTGTGGACTGCCTCTGCTGGAGGCATGCATGGAACATGGTCCGTGCTGGGAGCCGGTAGCTAAGCAACAACTACGGTGCCTACCAGCAACAGCGGCGCGATGTTTAAAAAAGATACGTGATAGCCGCTCCACGTTGCGAGCGGCGAGGCCGGCGGTGGACACAGAGCGTGGGACTGTCGAGGCGCTCGCTAGCCGCAGTGACTCAGGCCGGGGACGGAGCTGCGCACGGCTCCGCAGGACTGCTGGTGGCGGGGGCGACTCCGGCCCCCCCGAGCCGGGCGGCTCCGGGACGGGGCTCGGCAGCGACGGCGACTTCATCTCGCGGTGCCGGCTGGTGTCGACCAGGCTGCGGCGGTTCCTGCGCAAACCCAGATGGCAGCGGCGGCGGCACCACCGGGAGCAGCGGGCCCGGCGCACAGCGTGGAAGGAGCCGGGCGGCTGGAGCGGCGCCGCCGCGGGACGCCTCTGTCCGGAGCCCGCAAAGCCCGGCCGAGGCGCAGCCGAACGGGAGGCAGTGACCCGAGCGCGGAAGCCCCGCCGCAGCTGGCGACGACTGCCGCCGCGCCCCCGACCCGCGTAGAGCTCCCGGCGGAGCTCCGCGTGGAACCCCGGGCCGGGGGGGCGGCCGCCGTGCCTGAGGAGAAGCCGCGGGACGGCCCCGTGGCCATCCCGGGCGGCCGAGCAGGCTTGCGCCGGGACTGTGGCACAAGTTTTTAAATGCAGCTGGGGTGGCGCGGCAGCTTCAGCGAGCACGTGTCGGCGGCGCGGAGCTGCGAGGCCTTCGCCGCCCGCCTGCACCTGGAGCGCGAACAGCCCATGCTGGCGGCTGGGCCGTGCCTGGAACTGACGGCCGCGTCCCACTACAGGAGCCAGCCCGCCCGTGCTGCCGCTCCCCTGAAGCGGACCACGCGGCCGCAGCAGCGCGACCCGGGACAGCTGCACATGCGACACAACGCGGCGCCGAGCCGAGGCCCGGCGGCGATGACCAGCGATATGGCCCCCACCGTGAGCGGGCCGGGCCATGGCCGCAGCCACTCGGGCTCCTCCGGGAGCCTCAACAGTGATAACACCGCCTCCCCACTCCCGTGAGAGAGGCGGCGGCGGCCCGGGCAAGGACCCGGGCCGGGACCAAAACTGTACAGACACTAAATTTACTGACTGTTTTTACATGTTTTACATATAAACCTTTAGAAATTATTACAAATGTTTTTGTCTAAAATAATTTAGTTAACTATCTTTAGTTTTCTATTTACACTAATAAGAGAGAAAAATTCAACATTACCTTATTAATACATTTTTAAGTTTCTAATTTCCCTGTAGCTTTGTTTAAATTACTAATAGTCACATTTACTGAATATTGTTTAAAATTGTTAAGTTCTTAAATATATCTAAGTAAGTTTAAGTTTGTAACTATCTCGTTTAAGTACTTAATAACTGCTACACCCAGTCAGTCCTTGCTTTTCAGTGACCGGCAAGACTGACTTTTCTGAGAGACAATCTCTCCAAGGATTCGCTTAGCAAAGCGCTCAGTGTCGCTGCCTGACGGAGCTCAGGCCGCGGGGAACAGGGTAGGTCGAGAGCCGACCGGGGACTGCGGGTGTTGACGCGGCAGCCCCAACGCGACAGTCGCTGTGCCCGCGTTCCCGGTTTCCAGGCAGCGGATGGAACTGGCAGGGAGGCGGGGCCGGGGCCGTGCTGGGCTGTTGCTGCAGCCCGGCCGGGCACAGCGCGGGGTTCGATCCACAGGGCCCCAGCGCCATCTCCCGCTGTTCCGCTCCGGCCCCTCAGCAGCAGAGCCAGCGGCCCGGCCTGGGCACGGCCGGGGTGTCCCGGCGCTCGGCTCGGTTCGCTCCGGGGCACCTCCATGGAGCCAGTTCAACCCCGGCTGAACGGCGGGATTGGAGCAGCTCCCGGGGGCAGAGGGACGGGCCAAGTGCTGCATCTCTGCCCAAACACTTCAGAATCACGGACTCACTGGATGCTAAGGGGTTGGAAGGGACCTCAAGGATCCTCTTGTTCCACCTCCCTGCCACGGGCAGGGACACCTCCAGCCTGGCTTTCTCAGGGTTCCAGGGCTGGAGCATCCACAACCTCCCTGGGCAACCTGTGCCAGTGTCTCACCCCCCTCACAGTAAAGAATTTCTTCCTAACATCTAAGCTACATGTCCTCTCTTTCAATTTGTACCCATTACTCCTTGGCCTGTCACTGCAGGTCCTGACAAAGAGTCCCTCTCCGGCTTCCCTGCAGGCCCCTCCAGGAACTGGAAGGTGCTATGAGGTCTCCACACAGCTTTCTCTTATTCCTGTCCCTGACATGGGCTGTCTTACCCAGCTGAGCTCTGGGACAGTGGCTGATGCTGGAAACGGAGCGATGGACAGTGGAGGCTGAACCTTCCAGTCCCAAGGAAAGCTGGATTGTAATAAATACTGAGGCAATGGTAGTGCTCCCCTCAGGCTACGGTTCAGGTAGGGAATGCCCCAAGGCTCTCAGGGGGTAACTGATCATTGCCACTCTTGTCCTTCAGCCCAGCCTTTAGCCAAGCAACTGGAGTTCCTGGTACAGTCAGTGCTGCTCCCTCATTAGCCATGCAGAGTTCATGGGCCATTTCACCATCCCACCCATTACACAAAGACCAAGGAATGGGAATTCCTACGACAGGAGAGCAGCGTGCGGAGGAATGGGGGTGATATCTGATCACACCTGCTTTCCTGGAGATGGCTGAGCCCCAGCTCACAACCAAGGACCACACAGCTCACTCCCCTCCTATGGAATGCGGGAGAGAACTGGAAGAGTAACAGTGAGAAAACTCGTGCATTGAAACACAGTTTATTTAGGTAGATGAGGTAGAGATGGGTGTTGGGCGTTGGAAAAGTAACTGGGGAGGTCTCTGTTGAAGGTTGGGAAACCCTGAGCAGGAGGAGAGCAGAGGACACAAAGGGTGTCACTCTCATTTTGATGACTGCACCTTCTTCTTGGGTTTGCTGCTCTGGGTTTCCCCTTTTGGCAGTGACGTAGTCCGTTTCTGATCCGTCTTGGGCAAGTGGCCTTCCCCCATCACAGACAGCGATGGGCTCTTCTGAGATGACTTCAGGTTAGAAAGACTAGGAAGAAAGGGACTGGTATTAGCCAGACAAACATTTCCAGCCAGCCAGCTGCTTGCCTGCCTCCTCACAGAGCACACAGTGTTGCATCGGAAGCAAATGAAACAGAACTGCTTTCCCTGCCCCGGAGGCAGCAGAGGGGGAAGGGCAGAAACACAAGCAGTTATATTCCTGGGGACCAACTGCAGCACACGGGGTTCCCTGTAGAGAAGGAGGCTGTGCTTGTCCCATAAGGAAGCATAGCTAGGGACTGACTGGCCCCTTGACAGCCATTCTGGATCTCCCATTCCAGATTTTGCAACCCTCCAGGAGCTAAGTGTTTCATAGAATGTCTGCTCCCATTGTCTCCACACAGATCCATAGACATCTCCACAGACATCTGGCCAAGGCCAGATGATCATCTTTCTGTCAGAGCATGGACCAGGCTCTGCTTGGTGCTGCCCATCAATAGGACAAGAGGCAATGGGCAGAACCTGATGCAAAACAAGTTCCACCTGAACATGAGGAAGAATTTCTTCCCTGTGGAGGTGACAGGTTGTTCAGAGAGGGTGTGGAGTCTCCCTCACTGGAGATATTCCAGATGGCCCACTGTGGTCCCTGCCAACCTGACCCATCCTGTGATACCCACCAGGAGCATGGATTGGAAAGCACCTGGACATTTCTTACCTGCACAGTATTTTGGCCTTAAATTTCCCCACATGCATCGGGCAGAATTTCACATGGAAAATCTGCTTCTGGCCAGCAGGGATGGTACCGCAGTGGGGCTCGACGGAGAACAGCGGTGGGTCATTGATGTCGTCTGGAAGCGATTCCATGGAGGAACTAACAGGCTTCAAAGAGTAGGGCGGTTGCTTGGAACGGTCCGGACTTGACTGGGGCTGAGTTGGCTTGGCCTGAGTTGGCTTGGCCTGAGTCGATGTCTGAGGCTGAGCTGCTTTGGGCTGGGTTGACTTGGGCTGAGTTTCTTTGGGCTCAGTTCCTTTGGGCTCAGCTGACTCGAGCGGCTTTGCACGAGGCTTGAGCCTCTGCTCCACAGCAGCAGAGGGCAAGAAACAACCTGCAGGAGGGAAGAGAATATGTTTCAAAAACAAAATCCTTTGTTCCCAACAACTCTGCCTCTTGCTGCAGCTGGACAGAAGAGAGCTGGGATGCATTTGGAGCACCTCTGGCCAAGTACTTCCAGCAGGAGACAGAGCAGCTGGGAGCAGGGTCTCCGCCTGCAGCACACACTCCTGTGCTGGGGCAGGAGGACTGGTTTTAGACAGTGACTTTGCATTTGCCCTGGAGTGGGGAACTGCATACAGACAGTGGCTGCAGGGCAGCTCACTTGTTCCACCATTGTTTTTCCCAGTCTCAGAGACTTCCCAAAGAGGTGCCCTGATGTCCCCCTTCCCAGTCCTGACCCAGCCCGTGGCTCTCCCTGGAGCTCAGCTCAGCTCCTGTGCAGAGCACAGGTGGCAGAGCAAGAACAGGAGGGGCTAAAAGGCAGAGGGGTAAGGAGAAAACTCTCCAGCCGATGCTGGGAAGTGGACAGGGATGAAAAAGCAATTAATGTTTTGGGGTGAAGTGGCAGGATCTTCTCCCCAGGCCCTCAGCTACCAACTGAAATGTCCCGGGCACATCACCCAGAGCCAATGACTTACTCATCAGAGTTTTCGAGAACGGCTTCCCAGCACGCTTCAATGGTCTTTCCTCTTCCAGAGCCACCTCCCAGGAGTATTTCAGGGCTATGTTCCCTGTATTGTACATCTGGAAACTGTAAAACAAGGAGGAGGAATAATAAGCAAGTACTAAGGTAACACTGTATGGTGGGCTCCTGGTACCACCTTCTGCTGAGGAACACTGCCTTCCCCAGGCAACTCTGCCACGTGCAGAATTGCTGCCGTGGGTGGCCCAAAGCATTTCAAAGTGTATCTGGAAGTTTAGGAGGAAAGGGCCAACATGGTGCCCAGCACTCACGTGCTTGTCTCTGTCTGGAAGAGCTCGGTCTTCTTGAACTGAACCTCAGCCGTGTCCAGTTTGTACTTGGCGTAGCCAACCCGAGCACTGAGCTCGACCTCGTAGCTGCTCTCACCCAGGACGGTGTGAGATGGTTCCTGGAGTGCCCTGGCCACCTGCAGGCAGAGGAGGGAAAAATCACTGAGCAGAGCCCAGAAAGCCAGGCTGAGCAGAGCAATCTTTTGGCCTCCAAACTCAGCTGCATAGAAAGGACATTCAGGTTTATTTCCCTGACAAGATAACAAAACTGGACTGTTGTACTACAGTGTTGGTTTCTACCCACTGATCAAAGCAGTCACCACCACAGCTATTAATACATCTGTGGGGATTATGGCCAGCTGTCAGTCCCTGTGCTTCAACCCTGTAGAGTCTCTGACCTTTTCCCTGGTCCCCTATAAAGCAGGTCTCAACAGTAGGATTAAGGTCCCCTGCTGGAGCTCTGTGAATGGAGAAGCCCAAGACTGACCAGCCCTAGAAAGAACTTCTTCCTTCTTGTCTTAGGAGAAAGTGTTCTCCAGATGCCACGTGTGGGGTTGGAGTTGGCTCTGGGCATTTTGGGATGTGAATGATCTCACTGGGCAAGTCTCCAACTGCTGATGCCCTGATGGGGCAGTTTGGTTTACAGGACTCACAATGGTTCAGAAACTCAGCAAGACCCTTCACCAAGATAAGTGTGTTTGGCAATAACGATAGAAACACTTGGCTTGTGGCACAGACCGGTACTTTGTGCGTGGATAAAGGTCTCTTGTCCAAAGGCTCCCTCTCTGGTGTGAGCGCATCCCCTCTCCCCTAAAATGCACTGCTGGCGAACCTCACGGCTGGAGCCAATGCCCGGGGGAAGCAGGAGCTGCTCTGCCAGCAGCGCTGGTGGTCTGCTGCTGTCGGCAGGTCCCTTGGCAGAAGTTCGGTTAGCTTTTGCTGCTGTGCTTCTTACCTTCCGCTTCAGAGGCCAGCGGGCTCCTGGGCGTTTCTCGGAGGTATCCTCCCACTGGACCATGCGCATTTCGTCGTCCCAGTCGTAATCTTCCTCTGGTGGCAGCTGGTACTTGATCTTGGCCACCTTACACGTCACAGAGTGCCTCTTGAAGGTGACCGGGACGTTGGATTTCAAGGTCACCTTGATATCCTTGGCACGGCCAGGCTGGAGGTGTCCCACCTAGGGAGAACCAGAGAGTCAAGACCAAACTGGAATCACTGGCAAGGGCAGGACTGACAGCAAAAGGGACGGATACAGCGAGCAGCTGTGCCACAAATGTGCACCTCAGTGAGGATTTATGTGAGATTGGATAGAGCAAAGTATGAACAGAAGGGGCCACCTCCCAGAAGACGGAGCCTTTCCTGCTGGGCTGACAGCCCTGCCCCAGCAAAGCCAGGGATTGCATCTCCTGTATGGCACTGGAATGGGCTCTCAGTGGCATGTGGTGACTCCCTGCCAGCTCCCAGGAACACCGGGAAAGGGCTTGAGCAACTGGGAAAGGCAGAGCTGTCCCAGCTCACCTTGGGGGAGAACTGGAACGGGGCGTCTGCCGGCCACTCAAACCGCATCACCTCCTCCTTGCTGCGGTTGGTGACTGCGAAGGTCTTGTCGCAGAGCTTCCCGACTGCACAGTCCCCAAACTCAATGTGATTCACTCTGACAGCTGTGAAGAAGGAGAGCAAGAGATCTCAGCATGCAGGGAGGTCCATCCGCCCCCCTCACGTGCAGAGACACGTGTATGTTCAACTCTTCCTTGCTCCAAGCCTCCCTCCCTCCGGGAGGTCCCCAAGCCCGGGGTTGTGCCTGTGCCCAGCGACAAGCAGCAGAGCACACACTGCTCTGTGTGCACAGCTGGCAAGCTCACAGGTCACCAACTCCAGTGGGTGGCAGCCCAGCCCTGGCTAGAGAGAGGACATGCATGATCAGACATTTTCCTCTTCCTCACTCTACCTTGGCAGCCTCTCTTACCCTCAATGATGTCGTCCGTCCAGACTGCCCTTAGCACTGCTCTCCTCACTCTCTTCTAATTCAGGAAGGTTATCCAGGGTGAAGTCATCATCATAGCCTTCACCCACCAGCTCGATGTTGATCTCATTATTGCCGGACATTTCCACACAGATCTTCCCTTCCAGACGTTGGGCCAGGGTGGGTTTGAAAAACACGTCAAATTCTGCTGATTGTCCCTGTTCCAGGAGCATGTAAGGCTTCTTGTGATGCTTCTTGGCTGCATGGCAATGGGAATCAGAGTTAAGCGATACAGCTGTACAGACGAAATATTTCCCACATGCAGCAAAGACCTCAGCTGGTCCACTGAGGTGGTGCTGGTCCCCCACAACTCAACCCACTGTGTCTAGAAGAACAGAAAAACTCCCTACAACTTGCTGGGAGGAAACTCTGCAAGGAGTCCACAAGAAAAGCTCGGGAGACAGAGAGACCAAGGAAAGAAACTATGTCTAACATGTGGCTGCTGCTTAGACAAGCCAAGAGCAGGGCACACCTTTTCCCTCTGTGAAGGGTCACTCTGCATGGTTAATGGATTTACCTTTTCCGGTGGAGTCCTCTTCCACGTCTCCCATGTGGAAGGCCTGGAATGCAGACTGCCTGCCTTTCATGGAGAAAACTCTCTTTTCATCCAAGAGTCGTACTGCAAACTGAGAAAAGGGAACACAGAGCACAATGACAGGGGTGTGAGTAGAGGATGGCACGTGGATTGAGCCTGCACTGCCGCTGGTCCAGCACGGGGAACCCAGACCACCTCCCCGCCTCAAACACAGCCCTCAGCACAAAGGTTAAATTAGTCCCACAGGGGAAAAAGGGTGTTCAAAAGCCTATGGATAGAACTGACACAGAGCCAAACAGGACAGACAGCCATGAGCAGAGTGTAATTAAACCCCAATTAAGATTAATTAAAATGGAGTCAAGCAGTATCAAATGCAATCTCATGGAACTGGCACATCACACATGGCCACATGGGAACAAAATGGGAGCTGGGAGACAGGGGGAAAAACACCCCACCACCTTTCTTGTGTTGTGTTCAACCGAAGAGGAAAGATTGGACAGAAAATCACATTTTTGGGACCTTTCCTCCATGGGACAAGCACTTGTTCCCAGCCCAGAGCATTCCCTGAGCAGGTCCTTACCTCGGTGGGTATGACGCCGTTGTTACGAAGGACCAGGGGGAGTTTCTGTGAATCCCCCAGCAGGAGTCTCCTGAAGCGCAGCACAGGGTTTCCTCTCTTGCTCTGAAGGCCTGGGTACACCACTGTCACCTGAGGCACGTGCCCCTCTCCACTGATAGTGAAGGTCAGTTGTTGTGGTGTTGCCTCCCCGGAGCTGCTGGAGAGGCACAGAAACCATTTCAGCCAGAGCCTTCCAGAATAAGAGTTCTAAATAATTTCCCTAATTTGAATCATGCTGTACAGCAGATAAATAATGAGGCACCAGCTGAGCCATGGCAAATCCTCTGGCTGCAGTGATATGAGACATATGCAGCAAGCAAAAGCACAGCATGAAAACAGTCCAAAAGCAAGAAGGGAAAACCAAATCGACACCACCACCAGTAAAGATTATTTCCAAGGATACTAAAAAAGGAATTGCCTGTTAGGGCAGAAAGCTGACCTCTCTCTTCCAATTCAACCACACAGGATCACCTCCTTTTACAGAAACAAGGAGGAAATCTTGACCTGCTTGCACAGCAACTTCTTCATCTAAGCCTTGGAAAGTCCCAGCTCAGCTGTTGCAGTTCTCAGTAACTTCCAGCTGGCTACCTAAGGCCCTCTCTTCAGAGTCCCTCCCACAAGCTAAAGCATCCTCCTCATTTTTCTGCTCTGCTCTGCCTAACAGTTACTGCCTCCCAGATCATCTCATGCCAAATACTCTGCCTAAGGGCACTGAAAGCATTGGAGTTATCAAGAAGAGAGGCAGCTACCAGAACGGTCCCCCCCAATACTTCCCAGGGTCAGTTACCTTTTTGGGCTAACAAGAGAAGCGGTGAAAATGCCCTGGTACTCTTCCTTTTGTTCTGCAGTGAAGGTCACTGTAGCAAAGGCGTGGGATAAGCCAGGAATGCTCATCTCAGCAGGATCCACCTTGAAGATGTTGCTGATGACGTCGTGAGGCTTGGGGGGAACCCACAGTGCAGTGTTAGGAGGAAACATCTTTCAATGTGACCCAGTATATTCACAGATGCCTCCCTGGGAACAGCCCCAGACAGCGTGTCTTGCTTCACGCTTCCCTGGGCAGGCTCCCTCCATCCCAGGGGATGCTGACCCTGCGCTACTGCCCAGGCGTGCAAAAGTGTGCTTGGAGGGCTGGGCAGCCCCCAGCACATGTGGGAGGTTGGGAGTGCATGGAAACCCCTGCAAATAACCTAGGACTGGCCTTCCAAGAGAAGGAAAAGCCAGGCAATGCTCTGCTTTGAGCTCTGGCCCCTCAGTCCATAACAGCCCCTCTCTGAGTGTGCTTTCGAGAGATGTTCAGAAGGATTCCCGCCAAAGACCCAGAAGCGAGAGCCAAAATTTGCTTGAGAGATGTGGAACTCAAAGCAAGTGCCCCCCTGGCATTGCTGCTCTCCCCTGCAGTTTGACCTGCACTGAGCTGGACTAGTCCAGCTGGGCCAGAGAACGCAATGACTCTGGAGAACAAGGCAGGCTCTCACGTGGCCTCTAGAGAGCCTCTTGTTCTTACCTCTTCAGGCATGGCCTTGATGGAGAGGACCACGTCACATGGGACACTGCTGCTGTTGGAGATCTTGAACTGAGCTGTGGCCTGTTGCCCAACCAGAACTTTGGTGAAAATGAATTTGTTGTCTTCTTTGATGAACACGCCGTTGCCTTGCACCGACTGTAACGTCTGGCGGAGATTGACGTTGCTGTGGATCGGGTACTTCTCAAAGATGGACGTGATGTCTTCAACAAGTGCTGCAGACAGACCAGAGGGAGGACTAAAGCTGGAGAAGCCTCTTTGCTGAATTTACCTGGACCCACTTGGCCTCCCAGATGGCTTGATGAGCCCTTTCTGGCCAGGTGACTGCAAAACCCAGCCTTGGATGAGAGAGCTCAGTCAGTGAGGATGGAGCTCGGTCAACCTCAGCCTTAAAGGGCATTGCTTTCCTTTTATGCTTCCACACATCCCTCCCAGCCTCTCCCCACTGGTGCACTTGGAAAGGACTGCAACCTCTGAGGATTTTAAGGTGGGACTTGAGGACCAGGGTGCCCCTCTATCCAAGTAGCAAGTTTAGGGGCTGATCAGCAGCAGGACTGACCATGGGAACCTGAGGACAGTAGGTACCTGGGAAGCAGGACTCGGCAGTCAGGATAAAGGGAATGCCGAGGGGATTGTCCTTGGGGTCTCTGTTGCTGATGTCAATGCACAGCTGCTCCTCACATTTCCCCTCTGGTCCTGCGTTGCAATCCACTGTGATCTTCTGGTGGCCCCAAGGACCGATGGAGCCGGAGCAAGGGGACACCGTGAACATGCCTACGGTGAGCTGAGCCTGCAGAAAGAGTGCCAGGACAGGCTGATGCCCAACAGCTGTACCCTGAACACCCCCAGCAAGGGGTATGCCACGCCTTGGCCTCCAGCTGGGCCCAAGCACCCAGTTGCAGGGTAGGGAAGGATGACTCCTTGGCCAAAGGCAGCCCCAGGATGGGATGAACAAGCCAGGAGGAGCTGCAAGTCTGTCCCAAGTGGCAGAGAGAAAGGAGTTTGGGTGTAAAGAATGAAGGGGGTAGCTGGGATCCTTCAACCTCCAGGGGTACCAGAGAGCAGAAATGACTGAGAGGAATGATGGGAGAGAGGGAGGGGATTGGGAAGAAGTAAAAGCAAAGTTGTCAGTGCTCTAGAGACTGGGAGTTCAGGTGGGGTCAGTTTGCTCCTGGGGCGTTCACAGACCTATGCTGGCTAGCAGCCACCAAACACAGCAGCTGCTCCCCTCTCTTGACCCCACAACTCCAGGTCAGAGCCAGAGCATGGGACTGTCAGTGGAACTGAGCAGATACTGGACTCTCCATCCCACAGACCACGTCCTCCCCCCAGCCTGGGCACAGCTGCATCCTCCCACGTGCCCTGCAGCAGCACATGCTGGGGAGGAGCAGGAGCCACCCACCTGTGGCGAGCGCTTTCTTTCCCTTTCCGAGGGGGCAGATTCCTCTTGCTGTGAACTGAGAGGAGAAAGCAGAGACATCTGTCACGCTGAGCTGCCCTGCCTTTGTCTGAGGCCAAAGCTGGCCTTCCTCCCCGGGGAGGAGCCTTCCTGCTCCTGATGGCCCCCGGAGAGCTGCCTGCAGCACCCACTGCTGCAGCTTATGGACAGAGCAGCTCTATGACCAGCTTTGTCCCACACGTGGGGATACTGAGGTGTTTTGTTGCTCCCCCTTCCCAAGCCAGAGACCCAAATGGAAGATAATCCAGGTCTGGCTGCCTGTCACACACCAGCTGTGTGGTGATGCCTCCTCAGACAGAAAGGCTGGTGCAGGTCTTCTCTTACCTTGGCAGTGGAGAGGCTCGGTCGATGACGAATTTGAAGCTGAGGGCACCTTTGTTCTCCAGAATTAAGACCTGGGTCGCCTTAGTGCCCTTAATCATGGCGCCAAAGTCCATGGGTGAGGCAGGCTCGATGTTGTACTTGCTGTACACAGCCCTCGCCGACACCCTCAGTGGGATGGTGGCAACGCTCTGCTCTCCTTCACTCAATTTGGGATCAGTGACCTGCAACCAGAGGAGGGGCTGGTAAACACAGCAGAGAGGCCAGCCTCTCCCCCTGTCCCCTGACCCCATCCCAGGTCTCCATCAGCTCACCCACCCTATTTAAAAGAGCCTCTTCAGAGCCAGGTTTTCAGCTCTCTTACAAAGCCTCCCAAATGGTTTTGCAAGTCTTTGTGTATGTAGGAGAGAGGATGCCCCAGCTAAAGCCTCCTTTGCAAAAGACACCTCTCCTGCTTATGCTCCCAAGACACACTGTGCTAACACAGCCGGGCCCGGGCAGCTCACCTGGCAGAGCAGGATGGGCCTGCTCTTAATAAACAACTCAGTCTTGGGGTGGAAGAGAATCTCAACTTTCACAGCTGGCTTGGAGGCTTTCAATAAACCCCTCTGCGGCCGGACAGTGAAGTGAGATTCCAAGTTGCCGATCTTGGCACTTCCAGCTCTCAGCTTGAAACTGTGGAGAAAGGCAAAGAATGAAGATCTCTGCAGCTGAAAGCACAGGTGCCATCAGCACAGCCAGGACTTTGCATAGGGCCAGAAAAAAAAGAAAAGGGAGCAGCACGGGAACAGGTTCCAGCCATGGACAGAGAGAGAACGCAGACCTGGGAGCCTGAGGAATAGCTCAGCAGCAGGCAGCTGGACTCACCTGTACTCAATGTCATATAAGCCTTGGTTCTTCAGGCTCAGGACTTCCTTCTTATTATCCAGGATATTAATGGTTCCAAATTCCAAGCTGCCATCTGGACCTGTAGAAAACACGCAGAGCGAGGTAAGAAGTGGTGAATATTTGTGAGCTGCTGCAGAGCACACCAGGTCTCAAGCTACATAGCTGGGAGTTCTTGGATGGCACAAAACCCTCTTCAGCAAGTGTCCCTTCTTGGAAGTGTTGTCTAGCTACTTTCTCTTCTTACTCCCAAGTATCTGCAAGGTAGAAGCCAAGGAGCTTGGTTTCCGTTTCCTTGCTTCCAAGCACAAATCCAACTACTTTATGTGCTGTGCTGAGCCTTTGGGAATTGCCAAGTGCCTGTTCAGATGACTGTTGTTTCAAAGCACCTAATCCAATCTGCACACAAAGCTGCACGTTTCAAAGTTCAGAAGGGAGAGACTCAAGGCTGTTGGTGCCCTGACACTGCTTTACTTCACGCAACTTGCAAGATATGTTGCTTTATGTATCTGTGCCACCCTTGCCTGCTATGCCCTCCCCTCCCAAGGGCTTTGGTTGCCCACCTGCCAAGGTAGTACAATGAACCCAGACTCTTCTGCCTAGGAGGAATCCACTGACCTTCAGGCATGTTGATGCTCAGATTAACGTCATAGACCTCGACAGAGATTTTGATAGTTTCAGCGTGAACACTGGCAGCAAACGCCACTGTCGCCTGGGGGACATTAATGGGTCATTAACGGTCATTAATGGGTCATTAGGGGTCATTAGGGGTCATTAACAGTCATTAATGGGTCATTGAGGGTCATTAATGGGTCATTGGGGGGTCCCAGGGGGTGGGCGTGGCCCTCGCTGGCGGCAAACGCGGCCACTGTCGCCTGGGGGGACATTAATGGGTCATTAATGGTCATTAATGGGTCATTAACAGTCATTAATGGGTCATTAACAGTCATTAACGGGTCATTGAGGGGACATTGGGGGGTCCCAGGGGGTGGGCGTGGCCCTCGCTGGCGGCAAACGCGGCCACTGTTGCCTGGGGGGACATTAATGGGTCATTAACAGTCATTAACGGGTCATTGGGGGTCATTAACAGTCATTAATGAGTCATTAATGGGTCATTGAGGGGACATTGAGGGGTCCCAGGGGGTGGGCGTGGCCCTCGCTGGCGGCAAACGCGGCCACTGTCGCCTGGGGGGGACATTAATGGGTCATTAACGGTCATTAATGAGTCATTAGGGGTCATTAACGGTCATTAACAGTCATTAACAGTCATTAACGGGTCATTAACGGGTCATTGAGGGGATATTGGGGGGTCCCAGGGGGTGGGCGTGGCCCTCGCTGGCAGCAAACGCGGCCACTGTCGCCTGGGGGGGACATTAATGGGTCATTAACGGTCATTAACAGTCATTAACAGTCATTAACGGGTCATTAACAGTCATTAACGGGTCATTAATGGGTCATTAACGGGTCATTGGGGGTCATTAACAGTCATTAACAGTCATTAATGGGTCATTGGGGGGTCCCAGGGGGTGGGCGTGGCCCTCGCTGGCGGCAAACGCGGCCACTGTCGCCTGGGGGGGACATTAATGGGTCATTAACAGTCATTAACGGGTCATTAACAGTCATTAACGGGTCGTTAGGGGTCATTAATGAGTCATTGAGGGGTCAGGGAGGGGACAATGGGGGGTCCCAGGGGGTGGGCGTGGCCCTCCGTTGGGGGCGTGGCCACTTTGGGGTCCCCAGGGCCGTTTTTGGGGGATCCCAGGGCTGTTTTTGGGGGTCCCAGGGGGAATTTTGGGGTCCCAGAGCTGTTTTTGGGGGTCCCAGAGCCGTTTTTGGGTTCCCCAGGGCCGTTTTTGGGGTACCTTGGCGGTGGCGTGGGCGAGGATCTCGGGGGTCCCGGGGGGTTTGGGGGTCGCAGGGGGTTTTTTGGGGTCCCCAGGGCCGTTTTTGGGGTCCCAGAGCTGTTTTTGGGGGTCCTGGGGCCATTTTTGGGGTCCCCAGGGCCGTTTTTGGGGTACCTTGGCCGTGGCGTGGGCGTGGATCTCAGGGGTCCCGGGGGGTTTGGGGGTCCCAGGGGGTTTGGGGGTCCCAGAGCTGATTTTGAGGGTCCCAGATCTGTTTTTGGTGTCCCCAGGGGGATTTTTGGGGTCCCAGAGCCGATTTTGGGGTCCCCAGGGCCGTTTTTGGGGGTCCCAAGGGGATTTTAGGGGTCCCAGAGCCAATTTTGGTGTCCCCAGGGCCGTTTTTGGGGTACCTTGGCGGTGGCGTGGGCGCGGATCTCGGGGGTCCCGGGGGGTTTGGGGGTCCCAGGGCTGATTTTCAGGGTCCCCAGGGCTGTTTTTTGGGGTCCCAGAGCCATTTTTGGGGGTCCCAGGGGGTTTTTTGGGGTCCCCAGAGTCGATTTTGGGGTCCCCAGGGTCGTTTTTGGGGTACTCTTGGCGGTGGCATGGCGTGGATCTCAGGGGTCCCGGGGGTTTGGGGTCCCAGGGGGTTTGGGGGTCCCAGAGCTGATTTTGAGGGTCCCAGATCTGTTTTTGGTGTCCCCAGGGGGATTTTTGGGGTCCCAAGGGGTTTTCTGGGGTCCCAGAGCTGATTTTGGGGGTCCCCAGGGGATTTTAGGGGTCCCAGAGCCGATTTTGGGGTCCCCAGGGCCGTTTTTGGGGTACCTTGGAGGTGGCGTGGGCGCGGATCTCGGGGGTCCCAGGGGGAATTTTGGGGTCCCAGAGCTGTTTTGGGCGGTCCCAGGGCTGATTTTCAAGGTCCCAAGGGGTTTTTTGGGGTCCCAGAGCTGATTTTGGGGGTCCCCAGGGTCGTTTTTGGGGTACCTTGGTGGTGGCGTGGGCGTGGAAATTGGGGATCCCGGGGTCGTTTTTGGGGTCCCAGGGCTGTTTTTGGTGTCCTCAGGGGGATTTTTGGGGTCCCAGGGGGTTTTTTGGGGTCCCAGGAGGTTTTTTGGGGGTCCCAGGGCCGATTTTGGGGTCCCCAGGGCCGTTTTTGGGGTCCCCAGGGCTGTTTTTGGGGGTCCCAGAGGGTTTTTTGGGGTCCCAGGGCTGATTTTCAGGGTCCCAAGGGGTTTTTTGGGGTCCCAGAGCCGTTTTTGGGGTCCCCAGGGCTGTTTTTGGGGTACCTTGGCGGTGGTGTGGGCGCGGATCTCGGGGGTCCAGGGGTCGTTTTTGGGGGTCCCAGGGCTGATTTTCAGGGTCCCAAGGGGTTTTTTGGGGTCCCAGAGCTGATTTTGGGGGTCCCTGGGCCGATGTTGGGCTCCCCAGGAGTGTTTTTGGGGTACCTTGGCGGTGGCGTGGGCGTGGAACTTGGGGATCCCGGGGTCGTTTTTGGGGGTCCCAGGGCTGTTTTAGGGGTCCCCAGGGGGTTTTTTGGGGTCCCAGAGCCAATTTTGGGGTCCCAGGGCTGTTTTTGGGGGTCCCAGGGCCGATTTTGGGCTCCCCAGGGGTGTTTTTGGGGTACCTTGGCGGTGGCGTGGGCACGGATCTCGGGGGTCCCGGGGGGTTTGGGGGTCCCAGAGCTGATTTTGGGGGTCCCAGAGCTGTTTTTGAGGGTCCCAGGTCTGTTTTTGGTGTCCCCAGGGGGTTTTTGGGGGTCCCAGGGCCGATTTTGGGGTCCCCAGGGGTGTTTTGGGGGTACCTTGGCGGTGGCGTGGGCGCGGATCTCAGGGGTCCCAGGGGGAATTTTGGGGTCCCAGAGTTGTTTTTAGGGGTCCCAGGGGGTTTTTTGGGGTCCCAGAGCCATTTTTAGGGGTCCCAGAGCTGATTTTGGGGGTCCCAGAGCCATTTTTGGGGTCCCAGAGCCAAAAACACCCAGGAGTGTTTTTGGGGTACCTTGGCCGTGGCGTGGGCGTGGAACTTGGGGATCCCGGGGTCGTTTTTGGGGGTCCCAGGGTTGTTTTAGGGGTCCCCAGGGGGTTTTTTGGGGTCCCAGAGCTGTTTTTGGGGGTCCCAGAGTTGATTTTGGGGGTCCCAGAGCTGATTTTGGGGTCCCCAGAGCCGTTTTTGGGGTACCTTGGCGGTGGCGTGGGCGCAGATCTTGGGGGTCCCGGGGGGGATTTTGGGGTCCCAGGGCTGATTTTCAGGGTCCCAGGGGGTTTTTTGGGGTCCCAGAGTTGATTTTGGGGGTCCCAGAGCCAATTTTGGGGTCCCCAGGGCCGTTTTTGGGGTCCCCAGGGCCGTTTTTGGGGTACCTTGGCGGTGGCGTGGCGCGATCTCGGGGTCTCGGGGTTTGGGGGTCCCAGGGGGTTTTTTGGGGTCCCAGGGCTGTTTTTGGGGTCCCCAGGGGGTTTTTTGGGGTCCCAGAGCCGTTTTTGGGGGTCCCAGGGGGATTTTTGGGGTCCCCAGGGCCGTTTTTGGGGTACCTTGGCGGTGGCGTGGGCGCGGATCTCGGGGGTCCCGGCGATGTCCAGGGTGTCGTAGAGCTGCTCGTAGACCTGGGGGGGCACAGGGGGGACCCCCACATTTGGGGGGGTCCCCAGGAATTAGGAGGGACCCCCAAATTTGGGGGAGACCCAGGAATTATTCTGGGGGCCCCTCAGATTTAGGGGGGACCCAGGAATTATTTTGGGGGGGGGGCCCAGATTTTGGGGAGACCCAGGAATTATTTTGGGGGGGACCCAGGAATTATTTGGGGGGGACTCAGGAATTATTTGGGGGCCCCAGGAATTATTTGGGGGACCCAGGAATTATTTGGGGGCCCCTCAGATTTGGGGGGGACCCAGGAATTATTTGGGGGGGATCCAGGACTTATTTGGGGGGGACCCAGGAATTCTTTTGGGGGGGACCCAGGAATTATTTGGAGGACCCAGGAATTATTTGGGGGAACCCAAGAATTAGGGAGGGACCCCCAGATTTGGGGGGGACCCAGAAATTATTGGGGGGCACCAAAAATTTGGGGGGGACCCAGGAATTATTTGGGGGACCCAGGAATTTTTTGGGAAGGGGACCCCCAGATTTTGGGGGGACCCAGGAATTAGGGGAGGACCCTCAGATTTGGGGGGGACCCAGGAATTATTTGGGGAACCCAGGAATTTTTTGGGGAGGGGACCCCCAGATTTGGGGGGGGACCCAGGAATTAGGGAGGGATCCCCAAATTTGGGGGAGACCCAGGAATTTTTTTTGGGGGGGACCCCCACATTTGGGGACCCCTGACATCCCAAAGCAACCCCCCCCTTCCCCCCCAAAAAAGGGGGTCCTGGGTGGGATTTTGGTAATTCCCAGGTGAATTTTGGGGCTTCCCAGGTGAATTCTGGGGTTTCCCAGGTGAATTTGGGGGTTCCCAGGTGAATTTTGGGAGTTCCCAGGTGGATTTTGGGGGTTCCCCGGTGAATTTAGGGCTTTTTCAGGTGGATTTTGGGGGTTCCCAGGTGAATTTTGGGGCCCTGGGTGTGATTTTGGGGGTTCCCAGGTGGATTTTGAGGTCCCTGGGTGTGATTTTGGGGGCTCCCAGGTGGATTTTGAGGCCCTGGGTGTGATTTTGGGGGTTCCCCGGTGGATTTTGGGGGTTCCCAGGTGGGTTTTGGGAGTTCCCAGGTGGATTTGGTGACTCCCAGGTGAATTTTTGGGGCCCTGGGTGTGATTTTGGGGGCTCCCAAGGGGGTTTTGGGGCCCTGGGTGTGATTTTGGGGGTTCCCAGGTGGATTTTGGGGGTTTCCAGGTGGGTTTTGGGGCCCTGGGTGTGATTTTGGGGGCTCCCAGGCGGGTTTCGGGATTCCCAGGTGGATTTCGGGGCCCTGGGTGTGATTTTGGGGGTTCCCAGGTGGGTTTTGGGGGTTCCCAGGTGGATTTTTGGGGCCCTGGGTGTGATTTTGGGGGTTCCTAGGTGAATTTTGGGGCCCTGGGTGTGATTTTGGGGGTTCCCAGGTGAATTTTGGGGGTTTCCAGGTGGATTTTGGGGGTTCCCAGGTGGATTTTGGGGCCCTGGGTGTGATTTTGGGGGTCCCAGGTGGATTTTGGGGCCCTGGGTGTGATTTTGGGGGTTCCCAGGTGGATTTTGAGGTCCCTGGGTGTGATTTTGGGGGCTCCCAGGTGGATTTTGAGGCCCTGGGTGTGATTTTGGGGGTTCCCCGGTGGATTTTGGGGGTTCCCAGGTGGGTTTTGGGAGTTCCCAGGTGGATTTGGTGACTCCCAGGTGAATTTTTGGGGCCCTGGGTGTGATTTTGGGAGTTCCCAGGTGGATTTTGGGGTCCCTGGGTGTGATTTTGGGGTTTCCTAGGCGGGTTTTGGGGCCCTGGGTGTGATTTTGGGGGCTCCCAAGGGGGTTTTGGGGCCCTGGGTGTGATTTTGGGGGTTCCCAGGTGGATTTTGGGGGTTTCCAGGTGGGTTTTGGGGCCCTGGGTGTGATTTTGGGGGCTCCCAGGCGGGTTTCGGGATTCCCAGGTGGATTTCGGGGCCCTGGGTGTGATTTTGGGGGTTCCCAGGTGGGTTTTGGGGGTTCCCAGGTGGATTTTTGGGGCCCTGGGTGTGATTTTGGGGGTTCCCAGGTGAATTTTGGGGCCCTGGGTGTGATTTTGGGGGTTCCCAGGTGAATTTTGGGGGTTTCCAGGTGGATTTTGGGGGTTCCCAGGTGGATTTTGGGGCCCTGGGTGTGATTTTGGGGGTCCCCGGTGGATTTTGGGGCCCTGGGTGTGATTTTGGGGGCTCCCAGGTGGGTTTTGGGGGTTCCCAGGTGGATTTTGGGGGTTCCCACGTGGATTTTGGGGCCCTGGGTGTGATTTTGGGGGTTCCCAGGTGGATTTTGAGGTCCCTGGGTGTGATTTTGGGAGTTCCCAGGTGGGTTTCGGGGTTCCCAGGTGGGTTTTGGGGGTTCCCAGGTGGATTTTGGGGCCCTGGGTGTGATTTTGGGAGTTCCCAGGTGAATTTTGGGGGTTCCCAGGTGGATTTTGCGGTCCCTGGGTGTGATTTTGGGGGTTCCCAGGTGGATTTTGGGGGTTCCCAGGTGGATTTTGGGGCCCTGGGTGTGATTTTGGGGGTTCCCAGGTGAATTTTGGGAGTTCCCAGGTGAATTTTGGGAGTTCCCAGGTGGATTTTGGGGCCCTGGGTGTGATTTTGGGGGTTCCCAGGTGAATTTTTGGGGCCCTGGGTGTGATTTTGGGGGCTCCCAGGGGGGTTTTAGGGGGGTCACCTCTCGGATGGCGGAGCAGAACTTGCTCTGCAGGACCCTCTGCAGCGCCTGCAGCTTCTGGGGGGGCAGCTCCCCACTGCGCTGGAGCCGCTCCAGGAGCTCCACGGCCCTGGATACATCTGGGGGGACCCCAAAAACACCCCCTGAACACCCCTGAACCCCAAAATACCCCCCTGATCCCCCTTGAACCCCAAAAACTGCCCCTGAACCCCAAAACTCCCCACTGCGCTGGAGCCGCTCCAGGAGCTCCACGGCCCTGGATACATCTGGGGGGACCCCAAAATATCCCCCTGAACCCCAAAATATCCTCCTGAACCCCCCTGAACCCCAAAATCCCCCCCTGAACCCCAAAACTCCCCACTGCGCTGGAGCCGCTCCAGCAGCTCCACAGCCCGGAACACGTCTGGGGGGACCCCAAAAACACCCCCTGAACCCCAAAATATCCCCCTGAACCCCAAAAACTGCCCCTGAACCACAAAATACCCTGATCCCCTGAACCCCAAAAACACCCCCTGAACCCCAAAATACCTGACCCCTGAACCCCAAAATATCCCTCCTGAACCCCAAAACTGCCCCTGAACCCCAAAATACCCCCTGAACCCCAAAACTCCCTACTGCGCTGGAGCCGCTCCAGCAGCTCCACGGCCCGGAACACGTCTGGGGGACCCCAAAACACCCCTGAACCCCTAAAATATCCCTGATTCCCCTGAACCCCAAAAACTGCCCCTGAACCCCAAAAACTGCCCCTGAACCCCAAAATATCCTCCTGAACCCCAAAAACACCCTGAACCCCAAAATATCCCCCTCTCAAACTGCCCTGAACCACAAAACTGCCCTGCAACCCAAAAATTCCCCATGAGCTGGAGCCGCTCCAGGACCCTGGAAATGTCTGGGGACCCTAAACACTTCAGGTCACCCCTAAATCCCAAAATATCCTCCTGAACCCCCAAATACCCCTGAACCCCAAAATAGCCCCTCTGAACCTGCAAAATACCCCTGAACCCCAAAATATCCCCCTTTGAACCCCAAAACTCCCCCCTGAGCTGGAGCCACTCCAGGACCCTGGAAACGTCTGGGGGGACCCCAAAAACACCCCCATGGTCACCCCAAAATCACCCCCTGAACCCCCCAAAAAACCTCCCTGCGCCCCAAAATCACCCCCTGAACACCCCAAACATCCCCATGAACCCCAAAATATCCCCTGAACCCCAAAATACTCCCAATAAACCCCTAAAATATCTCCCTGGACCCCCCAAACCCCTCCTGGGTTCCCCCAGTGCCCCAAAAGCCCTCGTGGTTCAAAACCGACCCCCCAAAAACACCTCCAGAGTCACCCCAAAATACCCCCTGAGCCCCCAAAATACCCCCTGAGCCCCCAAAATACCCCCAGAGCCCCTCAAAATACCCCCCGAGCCCCCAAAATAACCCCTGAGCCCCAAATCACGCTCCTGAACCCCCTCAAAAACAGCCCCCAAAACGCCCCTCCCCAAAATCAGAGTCCTCTCATGGTCCCCCATCCCCCAGTCCCGGGCCCACCCTTTGTGCCCTTCCCTCCCCCCCAGCCCCTCCTCCCCAATGCCCCCAATTCCTCCCTCTCCTCCCCACCCCCTCTGGACCCCCTACCCCTCGACCCCCCGGACCCCCAAAATCCCCCCAAGACCCTCCTCCCTTTCTATCCCCTTAACGCCCCTCTCCCACTCCCGATGCCCCCAATCCTTCCTCTCCCTCCCCCCTCTCCAGACCCCCTCCCCACCCCTCGAACTCCCTCCCCGGACTCCCCAAATTCCCCCAGGACCCCCCAAATTCCCCCAAGACCCTCCCCCTTTCCATCCCCTTAACGCCCCCTCCCCACTCCAGATGCCCCCAATCCTTCCCTCTCCTCCCCACCCCCTCTGGACCCCTCACCCTCGACTCCCCGGGACCCCCAGGACCCCCAAATCCCCCAGAATCCCCCTTACCCCTCTCCAGCCCCAGCGCGTCCCCGCTCAGCGCTGCCATCTTCCTCAGGCCACGCCCACAAACGGGAGGCCACGCCTCCTCATTAGCATAACCACGCCCCATCTGTCACCAAGACCACGCCTCTCCCGCCGAGGCCACGCCCCTCTCTCATTATATGTCATTATACTGGCCACGCCCATGCCCTTATTTGGATGATCAAATGGCCACGCCCCTTCCGAGTTGGCCACGCCCCCAAAGGAAAGGAGGGGTCGAACCCCCCCATAAATTGGGGGGACCCCCAAATTTTAGGGCTAAAAAGATCCCCTAAATTGCCCTTTTTTGGAGCGGAAACCGCTACAAAAAAACCCCCAAAACCAACCAAACATCGCTGAAAATTCCACCAGAAACTCCCTCAAAAAAAAAACCCACAAAAACAAACCTGCCCTCAAATTCACCGAAAAATCACCCAAAAACCCCTAAAAATCACAGAAAAATCCCACAGAACCCCCCCTAAAAAACCCCCAAACCTCCCCCCAAACTCACTGAAAAACCCCCCAGAACCCCCCTAAAATCACCGAAAAATCCCTCAGAAGCCCCTCAAAAACACCCAAAACCTCCCAACTCCCCCCTCCCCTTAAAATCACCGAAAAATCCCCCAAACCTACCCAAAAATCACTGAAAAATGGTCCAAATCCCCCCAAAAACCCCAAACCCCCCTCAAAAAATCACCAACAAATCCCCAAAAGACATCAAACCCATCCCTTAAAATCACCGAAAAACCCCAGAACCCCCAAAAAATCTCCAAACCCCCAGAAACTCCTTCAAAAAACTCTCAAACCCCCAACTCCCTCCCTCAAAAATCACTGACAAATCCCCTAAAACCCCAAACCCCCCAACTCCCCCAACTTAAAATCACTGACAAATCACTCAAAACCCCAAAACCCCTAACTCCCCTAACTTAAAATCACCCTGAAATCCCCAAACCCCTTCAAAAACCCCAAATCCCTTCAAAAACCCCAAATCCCTTCAGAAAACCCCAAACCCCCTACAAAACCCCAAAACCCTTCAAAACCCCAAACCCCTTCAAAAAGGCCCCAGATCCCCTTCAGAAACCCCAAACCCCTTTCAGAAACCCCAAGACCCTTTCAAAGGCCCCAGATCCCCCTTAAAAAGGCCCAGGCCCCCGTGAAAGGCCCAACCCCCTTCAAAACCCAAGGCCCTTACAAAGACCCAAGGCCCTTCAAAGGCCCCAGATCCCTGTAGAAAGGCCCCAGGCCACTTCAGAAAAGCCCAGCCCCTTCAAAGCCCAAGACCTTTACAGTAAAAGCCCAAAGCCCCTTCAAAAGCCCAGATCCCTTAAAAGACCCCAAACTCCTTCAAAAACCCCAAAACCCCTTAAAAAAACTCCCAAACCCCCATTTTTTATTATTTCCTCCAATAAAACACCTTTATTGCCCGGACACGCCCTGGGGTGGGATGGGTGTGACGCAGTAGGGGTAATTTTGGGGGTCTCTGTGTCCCCTCCTCGAGGGTCACTCCAGGGGGTTGTCCAGCAGGTAGCCATTCTCAGCGCCCAGGTAGCAGTCGGGGGGCTGCAGCCCCTCGGGGCGACAGGAACATCTCGAGCGTCCCCTCCCGCCCCTCCCTCGCCCGCCTCGTTCCCTCCTCCTCCCCTCCTCCCCTCCCCTCCTCTCCCGGGGTCTCTCCTCCCTCCTGTCCCTCTCCCTCTTGTGCTCCCTGTCCCTGTCCCTGTCGCGTCCCTCCTCCTGTCCCTGTCGCGATGGCCCCGGCGCCGCTCCGCTCCCTGTCCCTCTTGTCCCCCCGTCTCCCCAGCCCCTCGGGGTCCCTCTCCCATGGACCTCCCCTCCTCCCCTTCCCCCCGGCCCCCCCAGCTCCTCGGGGGGCTCCAGGAGGGCGGGGTCGGGGCCGGGCTCGTCCTTTTTGTCGCGATCTCGGTCTCGTTTTCGCTCCCGGGATCGCGACCGGCGCTTTCTGTCGCGCTCCCGCTCGCGGTCCTTGCTGCGGTCGCGACTCCCGCCCCTCTTGCGGGGGGGGTCCCGCTCGTCCTTCTCGCGGCTCCGGGTCCGGCGCCGCCGCTCCCGGGATCGGGAACGGCGCCGATCCCGCTCCCGGGAACGATCCCGGCGGTCCCGCTCCCGCTCCCGGTCACTGAAAATGGGGAAAAAGGGGAAATGGGGGTCCTAAAGGGGTCCTAAAGGGGTCCCGCTCCCGGGAACGATCCCGGCGGTCCCGCTCCCGCTCCCGGTCACTGAAAATGGGGAAAAGGGTAAAGGGGTCCTAAGGGGTCCTGGGGTCTAAAGGGGTCCCGCTCCCGGGAACGATCCCGGCGGTCCCGCTCCCGCTCCCGGTCACTGAAAATGGGGGAAAAAAAGGGGATTATGGGGGTCCTAAAGGGGTCCCGCTCCCGGGAACGATCCCGGCGGTCCCGCTCCCGCTCCCGCTCCCGGTCACTGAAAATGGGGGAAAAAAGGGTAAAAGGGGGTCCTAAAGGGGGTCCTAAAGGGGGTCCTAAAGGGGTCCCGCTCCCGGTCACTGAAAATGGGGGAAAAAAGGGTCAAAAAGGGGGTCCTAAAGGGGGTCCTAAAGGGGTCCCGCTCCCGGGAACGATCCCGGCGGTCCCGCTCCCGCTCCCGGTCACTGAAAACGGGGGAAAAAAGGGTAAAAGGGGGTCCTAAAGGTCCCGCTCCTGGGAACGGTCCTAGCGGTCCCGCTCTCGCCCCGCTCCGGTCACTGAAAACGGGGGAAAAAGGGTAAAAGGGGGTCCTAAAGGGGTCCTGGGGGTCCTAAAGGGGTCCCGCTCCCGGGAACGATCCCGGCGGTCCAAGCCCCGCTCCGCTCCCGGTCACTGAAAATGGGGAAAAAGGGTAAAGGGGTCTAAGGGGGTCCTAAAGGCTCCGAACGATCCCGGTCCGCCCGGTCACTGAAAGGGGAAAACGGGATTATGGGGTCCTAAAGGGGTCCTAAAGGGTCCCGCTCCCGGAACGATCCCGGCGGTCCCGCTCCCGCTCCACGGTCACTGAAAACGGGAAAAAGGGATCATGGGGTCAAGGGGTCTATAGGGGTCCTAAAGGGGTCCTGGGGTCCTAAAGGGGTCCTGGGGTCAGGTCCCGCTCGGAACGATCCCGGCGGTCCCGCTCCCGGTCACTGAAAAAAGGGGGAAAAAAGGGGATTATGGGGGTCCTAAAGGGGTCCTGGGGGTCCTAAAGGGGTTATGGGGGTCCTAAAGGGGTCCCGCTCCCGGGAACGATCCCGGCGGTCCCGCTCCCGGTCACTGAAAAACGGGGGAAAAAGGGTCAAAAAGGGGGTCCTAAAGGGGTCAAAAAGGGGTCCTGGGGGTCCTAAAGGGGTCCCGCTCCCGGGAACGATCCCGGCGGTCCCGCTCCCGCTCCCGGTCACTGAAATAGGGACATAAATAGGGTCACAAAGGGGGTCAAAAAGGGGGTCCTGGGGGTCCTAAAGGGGGTCCTGGGTGTCCTAAAGGGGGTCCTGGGGGTCCTAAAGGGGGTCCTGGGGGTCCTAAAGGGGTTATGGGGGTCCTAAAGGGGTCCCGCTCCCGGGAACGATCCCAGCGGTCCCGCTCCCGCTCCCGGTCACTGAAAAACGGGGGAAAAAGGGTAAAATAGGGGGTCCTAAAGGGGGTCCTGGGGGTCCTAAAGGGTCCTGGGGTCCTAAAGGGGTCCTGGGGGTCCTAAAGGGGTCCTGGGGTCCTAAAGGGGTCCTAAAGGGTCGCTCCCGGAACGATCCCGGCGGTCCCGCTCCCGCTCCGGCTCCCGGTCACTGAAAAATGGGGAAAAAGGGTAAAAAAGGGGGTCCTAAAGGGGGTCCTAAAGGGGTCCCGCTCCGGGAACGATCCCGCGGTCCGCTCCGCTCCCTGAGGGAAAAGGGTCGAAAGGGTTACAGGGGGTCTAAAGGGTCCTGGGGGTCTAAAGGGTCCGCTCCCAGCGTCCCGGTCACTGAAAATGGGGGAAAAGGGTCAGAAAGGGGTCCTAAAGGGGTCAAGGGGTCCTGGGGTCCTAAAGGGGTCCCGCTCCCGGGAGCGATCCAGCGGTCCAGCTCCGCTCGCTCACGGTCACTAGGGGTTAAAAGGGTCCTGAGGGTCCTAAAGGGGTCTAGAGGGTCCTAGGGGGTCCCGGGTCCTGAAAAGGGTAAGGGTCCAAGGTCAAGGGTCCCTGGGGTCCTAGCGGGTCCCGCTCCCGGGAACGCTCCCGGTCCACTGAAAAACGGGGGAAAAAGGGTTAAGAAAGGGGGTCCTAAGGGGTCCTAAAGGGTCCTGGGGTCCTAGGGTCCTGAGTCCTAAAGGGGTCCTGAGGTCCAGGCCCAAGGGTCCGCTCCCGGTCCCGGTCACTGAAAATGGCGAAGGGTCAAGGGTCCCAGCTCCCGGTCACTGAAAGTGGGGGTCCAAGGGTAAAAAGGGGTCCTAAGGGGTCCTAAAGGGTCCTGGCTCCGGGAACGATCCCGCGGTCCCGCCCCGCTCCCGCTCGGTCACTGAAAAAGGGGGAAAAGGGTCAAAAAGGGGGTCCTAAAGGGGTCCTAAGGGGGTCCCTAAGGTCCGGCCTAGTGTCCGGTCACTGAAATGGGTCCGAAGCTGGGGTCCTAAAGGGGTTATAGGGGTCCTGGGGGTCCTAAAGGGGTCCTGCTCCGGGAACGATCCCAAGGCGGTCCCGCTCCCGCTCCCGGTCACTGAAATGGGGAAAAAGGGTCAGGCCAGGGGTCTGGGGGTCCTGCGGTCCGCTCCCGCTCCCGGTCACTGAAAATGGGGGATAAGGGTCAAAAAGGGGTCCTAAAGGGGTCCTAGGGGGTCCTAAAGGGGTCCCTCCCGGCGATCCCGGCGTCCCGCTCCCGGTCACTGAAAAGGGGGATAAATAGGGTCAAAAAGGGGGTCCTAAAGGGGTTATGGGGGTCCTAAAGGGGTCCTGGGGGTCCTAAAGGGGTCCTGGGGGTCCTAAAGGGGTCCCGGTCTGGGGAACGATCCCGGTCACTGAAAAACGAGGAAAAAGGGTCAGAAAGGGGGTCCTAAAGGGGTCCCTGAGGTGATAAAGGGGGTCCCAAAGGTGACACAGAGGGTCCCTGACCCACCCCTGGGGGTCCCTGAGGTGACACAGGGGTCCCAAAGGGGTCCCTGAGGTGATAAAGGGGGTCCCAAAGGGGTCCCTGAGGTGACATAGGGGGTCCTAAAGGGGTCCCAGAGGTGACACAGGGGGTCCTAAAGGGGTCCCTGAGGTGAAGTTGGGGGTCCTGGGGGTGCCTGAGCTGACACAGGGGGTCCTAAAGGGGTCCCTGAGGTGACACAGGGGGTCCTAAAGGGGTCCCTGAGGTGATAAAGGGGGTCCCAAAGGGGTCCCTGAGCTGACACAGGGGGTCCCAAAGGGGTCCCTGAGCTGACACAGGGGTCCTAAAGGGGTCCCTGAGTGATAAAGGGGGTCCTAAAGGGGTCTCTGAGGTGAAGTTGGGGGTCCTGGGGGTGCCTGAGCTGACACAGGGGGTCCTAAAGGGGTCCCTGAGGTGATAAAGGGGGTCCTAAAGGGGTCCCTGAGGTGATAAAGGGGGTCCTAAAGGGGTCCCTGAGGTGACACAGGGGGTCCTAAAGGGGTCCCTGAGGTGACACAGGGGGTCCTAAAGGGGTCCCTGAGGTGACACAGGGGGTCCTAAAGGGGTCCCTGAGGTGATAAAGGGGGTCCCAAAGGGGTCCCTGAGCTGACACAGGGGGTCCCAAAGGGGTCCCTGAGCTGACACAGGGGGTCCTAAAGGGGTCCCTGAGTGATAAAGGGGGTCCTAAAGGGGTCTCTGAGGTGAAGTTGGGGGTCCTGGGGGTGCCTGAGCTGACACAGGGGGTCCTAAAGGGGTCCCTGAGGTGATAAAAGGGGTCCTAAAGGGGTCCCTGAGGTGATAAAGGGGGTCCTAAAGGGGTCCCTGAGGTGATAAAGGGGGTCCTAAAGGGGTCCCTGAGATGACACAGGGGGTCCTAAAGGGGTCCCTGAGGTGATAAAGGGGGTCCTAAAGGGGTCCCTGAGGTGATAAAGGGGGTCCCAAAGGTGACACAGAGGGTCCCTGACCCACCCCTGGGGGTCCCTGAGGTGACACAGGGGGTCCTAAAGGGGTCCCTGAGGTGATAAAGGGGGTCCTAAAGGGGTCCCTGAGGTGATAAAGGGGGTCCCAAAGGGGTCCCTGAGGTGATAAAGGGGTCCTAAAGGGGTCCCTGAGGATAAGGGGTCCTAAGGCCCTGAGGTGATAGATAAGGGGTCCCAAAGGGGTCCCTGAGGTGATAAAGGGGGTCCTAAAGGGGTCCCTGAGGTGACACAGGGGGTCCTAAAGGGGTCCCTGAGGTGATAAAGGGGGTCCCAAAGGTGACAGAGGGCCCCTGACCCACCCCTGGGGATCCCAAAGGGGTCCCTGAGGTGACAAAGGGGGTCCTAAAGGGGTCCCCGAGGTGATAAAGGGGGTCCCAAAGGGGTCCCCGAGGTGATAAAGGGGGTCCCCTAAAGGGGTCCCTGAGGTGATAAAGGAGTCTGGGAGGTGACACAGGAGACCCTGTGAAGTATCCTGGGGGGGCTGGGAGAGGATCCAGCCCCCCCAACTCCCTCAGATCCCCCCCCACAGACCCCCAGACCCCCAAGCCCCCCAAGCCCCCAAACCCCCCAAGCCCCCCACTCACCGCTCGTCGTAGCGGGACGTGTCGTCCCTGCCCGAGTGCCGGATGTTCACGTCGGCACCGCCGCGTCGGGTGCCCCCCAGACCACCCCCTGGGGGGAAAATTGGGGTCAGGGGGGTCCTAAAACCATCCTGACCCCCCAAAATACAGAGAGACACCCCCAGACCACCCCCTGGGGGGAAAATTGGGGTCAGGGGGGTCCCAAAATACAGAGAGACCCCCCAAAAACCCATCCTGACCCCCCAAAATACAGAGAGACCCCCCCAGACCACCCCCTGTGTTAATTTGGGGCGGGGGTCTCACCCAGGCACCGGGGAGGATTTTGGGGTTATTTTGGGGTCATTTTGGGGAGGGGTCTCACCCAGGTGCTGGGAAGGATTTTGGGGTTAATTTGGGAATTATTTGGGGTTATTTGGGGTGATATTTGGGGTTATTTTGAGGGGGATTTTGGGGTTAATTTAGGAGTTATTTCAGATCAATTTTGGGGAGGGGTCTCACCCAGACACCAGGGGGGATTTGGGTGTTATTTTGGTGTTATTTAGGACCATTTTGGGGAGGGGTCTCACCCAGGCTACGGGGAGGATTTTGGGGTTATTTTGGGGTTATTTTGAGGTTATTTCAGATTAATTTTGGGGAGGGGTCTCACCCAGACGCCGGGGAAGATTCTGGTGTTAATTTGGGGTAATTTGGTGTTATTTAGGATAATTTTGGGGAGGGGTCTCACCCAGACACCGGGGAGGATTTTGGGGTTATTTTGGGGTTATTTTGGGGTTATTTCAGATTAATTTTGGGGAGGGGTCTCACCCAGACTCCGGGGGGGATTTTGGGGTTATTTTGGGTGTTATTTTGGTGTTATTTAGGACAATTTTGGGGAGGGGTCTCACCCAGACGCTGGGGAAGATTCTGGTGTTAATTTGGGGTTATTTAGGATAATTTTGGGAGGGTCTCACCCAGCCGGGGAGGATTTTGGTGTTATTTGGGGTTATTTTAGGTTATTTAGATAATTTTGGGGAGGGGTCTCACCCAGGTTCCGGGGGGGATTTTGGTGTTAATTTGGTGTTAATTTGGGGTCATTTTGGTGTTATTTAGGATAATTTTGGGGCGGGGTCTCACCCAGACGCCGGGGGGGATTCTGGGGTTATTTTGGTGTTATTTTGGTGTTATTTCAGATTAATTTTGGGGCGGGGTCTCACCCAGATGCCGGGGGGGATTTTGGGGTTATTTTGGGGTTAATTTGGTGTTATTTAGGACAATTTTGGGGAGGGGTCTCACCCAGACACCGGGGAGGATTTTGGGGTTAATTTGGGGTTAATTTGGTGGTATTTCAGATTAATTTTGGGGAGGGGTCTCACCCAGGCGCCGGGGAGGATTTGGGGGTTAATTTGGGGTCATTTTGGTGTTATTTAGGACCATTTTGGGGAGGGGTCTCACCCAGGCGCCGGGGAGCATTTTGGTGTTAATTTGGGGTTAATTTGGGGGTATTTCATATCAATTTTGGGGAGGGGTCTCACCCAGCCGCCGGGGAGGATTCTGGTGTTAATTTGGGGTCATTTTGGTGTTATTTAGGACAATTTTGGGGAGGGGTCTCACCCAGATGCCGGGGGGGATTTTGGGATTAATTTGGTGTTAATTTGGTGTTATTTCAGATTAATTTTGGGGCGGGGTCTCACCCAGACACCGGGGATTTGGGTGTTATTTTGGGGTTATTTAGGACTATTTTGGGGAGGGGTCTCACCCAGACACCAGGGGGGATTTGGGTGTTATTTTGGGGTTATTTAGGACTATTTTGGGGCCGGGGTCTCACCCAGACGCTGGGGAAGATTCTGGTGTTTATTTGGGGTCATTTTGGTGTTATTTAGGACCATTTTGGGGCGGGGGTCTCACCCAGACGCTGGGGACGATTTTGGTGTTATTTTGGGGTCATTTTGGGGTTCTTCAGGACCATTTTGGGGCAGGCGTCTCACCCAGATATCGGGGAGGATTTTGGGCGTTAATTTGGGGTTCTTTAGGACAATTTTGGGGCGGGGTCTCACCCAGGCGCCGGGGAGGATTCTGGTGTTATTTTGGGGTTAATTTGGTGTTATTTCAGATTAATTTTGGGGAGGGGTCTCACCCAGACTCCGGGGGGGATTTTGGGGTTATTTTGGGGTCATTTTGGGGTCATTTTGGTGTTATTTAGGATTAATTTTGGGGAGGGGTCTCACCCAGGCGCCGGGGAGGATTCTGGTGTTAATTTGGGGTCATTTTGATGTTATTTAGGACCATTTTGGGGAGGGGTCTCACCCAGGCGCCGGGGTCTCCATCCTTTGACGGTGCGGCCGCGCTCCACGTCCACCAGCACGCGCCGCCCGTCGATCTTCTTGCCGTCAGCGTGTTTGTAGGCGGCTGAAAAAGATTTGGGGAGGGGTCCCGGGGTGGGGGACACGGGGGGCATCAGCCAGGGCGGGGCCGGCTCAGCCCCCCCCCCCAAAAAACCCCGCTTAAAATGACGTAAAATGGGGTTTTTAAACCCCCCCAAACCCCCCTAAAGTGAAGGAGTTTACACCTGGAAAATGAAAACCACCCCCAAAACCTGAAAAGGTGATGTCACACAGTTAAAAAAATGAACCCCCAAACACCTAAAAAATGATCTCAACACCCCCAAAATTAGTTTATAAAATTATTCCCCCTAAAAGGTGATGTCACACAGTTAAAAAAATGAGCCCCCAAACACCTAAAAAATGATCTCAACACCCCCAAAATTAGTTTATTTCTATAAAATTATCCCCCCTAAAAGGTGACGTCACACAGTTAAAAAAATGACCCCCCAACCCCCTAAAAAATGATCTCAATCCCCCCCAGAAATGAATTCATATCTGAAAAATGATCCCCCCAAAAGGTGATGTCACACACCTAAAAATGAACCCCCCAACCCCTAAAAAATTATCTCAACACCCCCAAAAATTAATTCATATCTAAAAAATTATCCCCCTAAAAGATGACGTCACACACCTCAAAATGAGCCCCCAACCCCTAAAAAATGATCTCAATACCCCCAAAAATGAATTAACATCTAAAAAATTGACCCCCCCAAAAGATGACGTCACACACCTAAAAATGAACCCCCCCAACCCCTAAAAAATGACCTCAACATCCCCCCCAAAAATGAATTCACATCTAAAAAATGATCCCCTCAACCCCTTAAAAAATGACCTCAACACCCCCCAAAAATGAATTCGTATCTCAAAAATTACCCCCCCAAAAGATGACGTCACACACCTAAAAATGACCCCCCAACCCCTAAAAAATTATTTCAACACCCCCCAAAAATGAATTCATATCTAAAAAAAGACCCCCCAACCCCCTAAAAAATGACCTCACCAAGCCCTAAAAAATGACCTCAACTCCACCCAAAAATGAATTCACATCTAAAAAAACGACTTTACACCTAAAAGACCCCCCCCCACCGAAAAGATGACATCATACACCTAAAAAACCGACCCCCCGACCCTAAAAAATGTCACACACCTAAAAAAGTGACCCCCATCCCCAAAAAGTGACCTCACACCCTCTCCCAAAAAACCTAACACCTAAAAAATTGACCCCCAACCCCAAAAGCGACTTCACACCTAAAAAACCGACCCCCCCGACCCTAAAAAATGACCTTACACCTAAAAAAAAGACCCCTCCCCCCAACTAAAAAACCACCTTCACGCCTTAAAAAAATGACACAACTGGAAAAGAAAGGATAAAAAAATTTGGGGACCCCTCGCCCACAAAAGCAGAGGAATTTGGGGGAGGGGGGGGGGTCACCAACTTCACCTGTACATTGAAAAACCCCCCCCATCCTAATTTGGGGAGGGGGTCACCACCTTTACCTTACCCAGATTGACCCCCCACACACACCCTTTATTTTTTTTTAGGGGGGGGTCACCCCCTTTACCTGTAGATTGACCCCCCCAACCTACAAACCGACCCCCCCTTAATTTAGGGGGGGGCACAGGACCTTTACCTGCAGATTGACGCCCCCTTAATTTGGGAGTCACCTTCTACCTGCAGATCGAGCCCCCAACCTACAAACTGACCCTAATTGGGAGGGCACCTCCTTTACCTGTTTAGTGACACCCCCAACACACACCTCATTTTTTTTGGGGGGGGGTCACCCCCTTTACCTGCAGATTGACGCCCCCTTAATTTGGGGGGGGGTCACCCCCTTTACCTGTAGATTGACCCCCCCAACCTACAAACTGACCCCCCCTTAATTTGGGGGGGCACCTCCTTTACCTGTCCATTGACACCCCCACACTTATTTTTTTGGGAGGTCACCTCCTTTACCTGTCCATTGAAGACCCCCCCCCCCAACACACCCCAATTTGGGGAGGGGGCACCTCCTTTACCTGTTTAGTGACCCCCCCCCAACACACACCTCATTTTTTGAGGGGGGGGTCACCCTTACCTGCAGATCGACCCCCAACTTACAAACCGACCCTCCTTAATTTGGGGGGCAGGAACTCACCTTTACCTGTTAGATCGACCCCCTCCTTAATTTGGGGGGTAGGGGGCACCTCCTTTACCTGTTTAGGGACCCCCCACACACACACCTCATTTTTTAGGGGGGGTCACTCCCTTTACCTGCAGATCGACCCCCCCCTTATTTTTTTGGGGGGGGGGGGCACTACCTTTACCTGTTTAGTGATGCCGCACACACCTCATTTTTTGGGGGGGTCACCCCCTTTACCTGCAGATTGACCCCCCCCTTATTTTTTTGGGGGGGGGGTCACCCCCTTTACCTGCAGATCGACCCCCACACACACCTCATTTTTTAGGGGGGGTCACCCCCTTTACCTGTAGATTGACCCCCCCCTTGAGAAGGGGGGGGCACCTCCTTTCCCTGTCCATTGACCCCACACTCTTAATTTGGGGGGCACCTCCTCTACCTCCAAATCGACCCCCCCTTAATTTGGGGGGGGGGGGCACCTCCTTTACCTGTCCATTGACACCCCCACACTTATTTTTTTTGGGGGGGTCACCCCTTTACCTGCAGATTGACCCCCCCTTAATTTAAGGGGGGGGGCACCTCCTTTACCTGTACATTGACACCCCCACACTTATTTTTTTAGGGGGGGGTCACCTATTTTACCTGCAGACTGACCCCCTAATTTGGGGGGGGGTCATCCCCTTTACCTGCAGATCAACCCCCCTCAACCTACAAACCGATCCCTCCTTAATTTGGGGGGGGGGAGGCACCTCCTTTACCTGTCCATTGACGCCTCACACACCTCATTTTTTTGGGGGGGTCACCTCCTTTACCTGCAAATCGACCCCCCCTTAATTTGGGGGGGGGGCACCACCTTTACCTGTTTAGTGACGCCGCACACACCTCATTTTTGGGGGGGGCCACCCCTTTTACCTGTAGATTGACCCCCCCCTTATTTTTTGGGGGTCACCCTTTACCTGCAGACCGAACCCCCCTTAATTTAGGGGGGGGCACCTCCTTTACCTGTCCATTGACCCCCCTTTAATTTGGGGGGGAGGGGGAACCTCCTCCACCTCCACAATGACCCCCCCCAGCTTAATTTGGGGGGGGGCACCTCCTTTACCTGCAGATCGACCCCCCCCTTAATTTGGGGGGGGGGCACCTCCTTTACCTGTCCATTGACACCTCACACACACCTTCTTTTTGGGGGGGTCACCCCCTTTACCTGCAGACGACCCCCTAATTTAGGGGGGGAGTCACCCCCTTTACCTGCAGATCGACCCCCCCCAACCTACAAACCGATCCCCCCTTAATTTGGGGGGGGGGCACCTCCTTTCCCTGTCCATTGACACCCCACACACCTCATTTTTTTGGGGGTCACCCCTTACCTGCAGATTGACCCCTGCAGACTCAGACCCACCTCAATTTGAGAGGGGGTCACCCCTTACCTGCAGATTGACCCCTAATTTTGGAGGTCACCCCTTACCTGCAGATCGACCCCCCCCAACCTACAAACCAACCCCCCTTAATTTGGGGAGGGGGGCACCTCCTTTACCTGTTTAGTGACCCCCCCAACACACACCTCATTTTTTTTGGGGGGGCCACCCCCTTTACCTGCAGATTGACCCCCTAATTTGGGGGGAGGTCACCCCCTTTACCTGCAGATTGACCCCCTAATTTGGGAGGTCACCCTTACCTGCAGATGGACCCCCTCCAACAACCCAACCCTCCTTCCACCTGCCCCCAATTTGGGGGTGCTGTTTACCTGCCCCCAACACTCTCACAGCCCCCAAAGCGAGGCAGCAGAACTGGACGCAGCCCCCACCCCCAAACTCCCCAAATCCCCTCCTCCATCCCCCACCCCCAAAAAGTCCCACACGAGTCCTGGGTGGGTGGGGCGGGTCCGTGTCCCCGGCTGGGGGGCCCTCCAGACGATGCCGGTCCTGGACAGGCGCTGGGGCCTTACCTGAGACCCTTCCTACCTCACCGACCCCCCGACACCCCCAAATAAATCACACCCCACCCCTTCAGG